AACCTGATGACTTCACTGGTAAATTCTACCAAACATTTAAAGAAGAACAAATTCCAATCTTTGTCAAATTTTCCAAAAAATTGAGGAAAAGCAAACATTTTCAAATCCATTCGATGAGACCAGCATTACTCTGATACCAAAGCCAGACAAAGACACTACAAAAAAACTATAGAGCAATATCCTTTATGAACACTGATCAATTCCCAACAGAACACTAGCGAACAGAATTCAGCAGCGTATTAAAAGGATTATGCACCACGAAAGTAGGATTTTTTCTGTAATGCAAGGATGGTTCGACATGTGAAAAATCAGCCAATGTAATAATACATTAACAAATGAAGGGGAGGGAATACACCATGATGATCTCAATTATGTCGAAAAAGCAACTGACAAAATTCAACACCATTTCATGACCAAAAAAAAAGTATTCAACAAACTAGGGAAGCAAACTACCTCAATATAATAAAAGCCATATATGAAAAATTACAGTGAACATCACACTCAATAGTAAAACACTGAAAGCTTCTCCATTCAGATCAGGAACGAGACAAGGATGCCCACTTTCAATATAGCACTGGAAGTTCTGGCCAGAGCAATTAGGCAAGAAATAGAAATAAAAGGCATCCAAACTGGAAAGGAAAAAATAAAGTTATCCCTGTTTGCGGATGATATGATCTTATATGTAGAAAACCCAAAAGAGTGAACCCAAAAAACTGTTAGAACAAATAAATTCAGCCAAGTAGCAGGATACAAAGTTCAGTTGCATTTCTATACATGAACAATGAATGGTGTGAAAAGGAAATTTGAAAAACAATTTCATTTACAGAGCATCGAAAGAATAAAATACCTAGGAATTAACTTCACCAAGGAGGTGAAAGTGCTCGCCCTCCTCTCCTCCTGGGGCTGGACTCAGAGACAAGCTGGTGCAGTTGCTGGGTGGGTTAGAGGACCCAGCCCCTCTGAGCCAGCAGTGCAGGCGCAGGAGGTGAGAGGTTATCACAGAGGCAAGGTGGAGCCTTCTGGGCTGAAGGTAGCCATTCAGGACCCCAGTGAACCTGCCTGACCCAAGGCAGAGCCCTAGGGGCTGTCAGTGGCAGTTCTGCTTCTGTCTCCTACCTCAGAGCTGGGCAGGCCCCCATCTACCTGGACAGACCCAAGAGGCCACCGGAGGGTGAAACCCCCAGAACAGGTTGGCGGAGTGACTAAGGCCTGGCTAGGAGGGGAGCATATGTCCAGCTGCTGCCCCAGGTGTGTCACCTGGTCTATATCATAACGTGGTGCCAGCTGATGGCATAGTGAGAGCAATGAGCTTGAAGCAAGGAGAAAGCCGGCCTACCAATGGCTGGGTTTCCTACCGGGGCTGAAAGGTTTTACTTGCTGATGAAAACTCTGGGACCTTTCTGAATTTATTTTCCTGTCCTAGCATTACAAGGCTGTGAGGACCCTTTAAAAAATTCAAAGTCAGGCAGTGATGACTTTGAATGGATGGGGTGTCATCCGCTGCTTTAGTTGTCAGCTGCCAACTGTGGGATTGGCTCTCAGGGCCTTCGATCTGCTGAGTTAGAGAAATTCATGGTTGGTGGCTCCTGCAGTGACAGAACAGAAACTTCCACTGGCTGAAACAGGAAGGGACAGAAACAGCCTCAGGCCCAGGAGGTGGTGGCCAGGAAACGAGGCGGAGATGCAGGTGTGTGAGGGAGAGCCAGAATGTTCCCTAGCGGACTCTGCTTCCATCCAGGGGAGAAAACCTTCCTTCTGAGGTGAGGAATGTGGGAGATCACACGCAGGCGTGATGGTGGTAACCTGGGGGAGTTTTGTGAGCATCTGTTAATCTTGCAGTTTACCTCACAGCAGGCGCTCAACCCGCAGTGTCTCATTTAATCCACAAAAGCCCTGGGAAAGAGGGATCATGATGGCTGTTTATAGGCAGGGCACCAAGGCACAGAAATCAAGTAATTTGTCTGAAGTTGCACAGCAAATAAATAGCAGAAGCAAGATTTTTTTAAATCCTCACCTGAGGATATGTTTTACTAATTTTAGAGAAGGGGAAAGGGGGAGAGAGAGAAACATCAATGTATGAGAGAAACATCCATCGGTTGCCTCCCATATACACCCAGGCCAGGGATTGAACCTGCATCCTAAGTTTGTGCCCCGACTGGGAATCTAACCCAGAACCTTTTGGTGTATGGGGCAATGCTCCAAGCAACTGAGCCACCCAGCCAGGGCCAGAAGGGAGATTTTTAATTCTCTTTCCGTAATCTGAGGGCTCTCCAAGGTCTCGCATTAGATGTCTGTTGTGCGTTTAGCATAGGACCAGAAAAAGGGGGACGATTGGGGTAAAATCGGAGGTGGAGCCCTGACTCGGTATGACTCGGCTGTCTCTGGGGAAGGCAATAGAGAGAAGGGAAAGCCAGAGGCCAAAGTTCAGAAGGGCCAGCGCCTGAATGCTTAGTTCCTTCTTGAGGGAAGGACACCCAAAGCAAGAGGGCTGTGACAAGCAGATGACTGAAGGAGCCCAGCCAAGCAGCAGTATCGTCAGCCGGGCCAGGCCCAGAAGGCCTGCCGCCTTGTCCCTGGCCTCAGAAGGGTAACTGTCTCTGTCCGGCCACACTCTAGCCTTTCTCTTGGAGGTTGGAGCCGTTTGGGGTAGGGTGTGGGGGGAATGACTTTTCCAGAAGTGGGGAGCTCTGAGATCCTGGGTCTCCTGTCCCCTGCTGTCTGACTCTGCAGCACACCGGTGTTCGCAGTGCTGCAGAATGAAGGGGACACCTCAGGTTAGAAAGCTGGAGCGACAATGTGCCTTCCTTTAATGGGTTTTCCAATGACAATTTCTATATTCTATGTCCACTATTTAAAAAACAAGTGGAAAAAAGGAAAAAAAAAAAAAAGAAGCCCGGCCGGGCGTGGCTCAGTGGTTAAGCGTCGACCTAGGATCCAGGCGATCAGGGTTCGATTCCCGGTCAGGGCACATGCCCAGGTTGTGGGCTGCAGCCGATCAATGACTCTCTCATCATTGATGTTTCTAGCTCTCTCTCTCCCTCTCCTTTCCTCTCTCTGAAATCAATAAAGATGTATTTTAAAAAAATAAAATAAATAAATAAATAAAATAAAATAAATAAATAAATAAATAAATAAATAAATAAATAAAAACAAGTGACATTTCTCTCTCCTACTCTGGGCCCCACCTTTGCCTAACCCACGATCCCACCCCCAGAGAGAACCACTGTGAAAAGTGTGACTTCTCTCTCCTTCCAGGTACTTCATCTACACATTTACAAACTAATCGTTTCTTTAAAGAAAAACAAGAATTCTGCTTTATGTATTGATCTGCACCTTCCTCTTCACCTGCAAAAGATGCTCTCCTGGCCAACCTCTTGTGTCAGCACATGAACACCTGCTGTCCTTTCTCTTGCTGGCATGGGATCCCACTGTGTGACAGCCTCGTGTGTCTGGGTGTCTTGTCCTATGCCACATGGATGTGGTCACCAGGCCTTTTTGAGAAGTGGTTGTCCTTTCTCACAGCGCTGCTCCCTCTGAGCAATGATCAGAGGTGGGGGGCGGTGGGGAGAGGATGTCTTGTCTCAGAGAACCTGGTGATGCTAAAAGTCTGGTCTCTCTGACGGTTAAGGGGTTTAGAGGAGATGATGGATCTGAGAGGTGACTTTCTGGGAGGCGATGGTTTGGGGAAATGGTGGAGTCTGAGAGGTCCTGGGTCTGTGAGGAGATGGGTACAGGAGGTGATGGGTCTGGAAGGTAATGGATGTGGGAGACAATGGGGTCTGGGAGGTGAGTTTCTGGGAGGTGATGCCGAGGCGATGTTCTGAATCATCTTCCATGATGCAGTGGCCAGCTCTGCGCAGCCCGGGCTGCTCCCCAAACCAGCTAGGCTGGTCGGCGAGGGTACAGCCCTCCTCCCCACAGGCTGTGGTTGTCATCTACCCTCTTTGGCTGGGCTGTTTCCTGCACACCTCTGTGCATACCTCTCAGAGCTCCCTCCTTTGTCAACCAGGTGAGGTGGCAGTTTTCCTCCCTTCCTGCGAAGGGTTTAGTTGCTCTGAGTCATAGGAAGGACCTGCAGCCACCAAGAGCATTTCCTCCCTCTTCTTTTAGGCCCCATGGTTGGAAAAACAGGTCTGTTTGACATGATATGAACCAGTTCACCCAAGGGACACACTCGGTGTCACTGTTCGCAATTTTAGGAAACCAATGGAGTTTGAGGGTCCCTTGCTTTCCAGAAGCCTCCTTCATCCCTTCTCTCCCTTTCCCCATCTTCTTTCCCTTCACTCCTTGCCCGTCCCATGTACTAGGCCCTCGCTAAGCACTGGGCACCCACAGGTGAGCGAGCAAGGCCCTGCCCCTCTCCATGAGAACATCCCCTTCTCACCAAGTCGCTCATTCTGCTTATTTGAGGTTTTATGGTTTCACTATGTTTTCTGCACTTCATGCTGATCTGCATCTCCAGGGACCCTGGGCCAACTCAGAGACCTCTAGGCTGGTCTCTGGCCCCTGTGTCTTTTGGCTCTTTCTCAAGAGCCTGACACTCACTAAGCATCGCATGGACTGAAGAGACACAGCACCTGCTGGACTCCCCACCTTTCCCCCAGAAGAGAACTCGCACTGGCCTTGGCAAGGGCCTTGGTGGCCCCCACCCGGAATGCCTGCAGGTACACTGGCCTCGCCTCTGCCACGAGGCTCCCCCACACAGCCCCCTTTCCAGCCGGGCCATCTGCACTCAGACAGCTTGGGCATGGCTCCTGGAAGGTGCACTTAAAGCTGAATGAATGGACAAGTCACTCTGTGGAAACAGAAGCTCAGAGAGGCTAACTGCCTGCCTCGTCATGAGTTCTAGAAGATAACTGCGGAGATGAAAAGGGTTGTCTTGACGTGGAAGAATCAGGGACCATTAACACAATTTTTCTCTTACATTTTTCTAAGTTTAAGTATGTTTTTTCCAATAGAAAGCAGGAATGCTAAGAAGAATAGATAGCCTGAGCGGGACCATGGGCATGGCAGGTGGGATGTTGACAGTTGCCCTTACTTTCTCAATGGCTGGAGGCAAGTGGCTTTTCTAGAAGATGGGTTGCTGGTCATTCATGAGGGGTCATTCCAGTGGGGAAGCCTTCAGAGGAAGCCCCAGGTAGAAGTATGAGTTTGAGAGTAAAGGCCTGGAGCCAAGGCTATCCCAGGATGCATCTGCCAAAATCTGGCATTTTCTGGGCAATTGCTTCCAGGTCCAGGAAGCATGCTGTGTGGCAAAGGCTATCTGAGGGTGAATGAAACCTCCGAGGAAGGTGCTTCACACCTGAGCAAGCCATTCCAGCCCCAAACCTGCCGGGACCACATTCCGAGGACCCACAGGCCCATCCCTGCTCTGTGCCTCTGATGTTTCCTGATGTTTCTGGCAACTTGGGCCAAATTCTCGGTGTGACTCTCTGGGCAGGGCCTAAGCTCTGGGCTATAGGTGCAGGTTCTGGCCCTCTCTGTGGCAGACAGAAGGAGCTGGATTACTTTCAGGGCTGAACAGGGAGATGACTAAGCTTGAAGCAGGCTTTACACCCTGTGAATTAGCCTCTTTTCTTCTGAACCAGCCTGTCCTTGGCCTTTCCAGCTCTGTCCTAGGAACCACCCTGCTCCCCACAGAGATCAAAAGCTTTGGGGCCTCCAGGACTCATCTGTCTGCTCCCTCTGCCTGTCACACCCCTTCTGCCTTCTCCAGTGCCCCTGTGAGCATCTCTCCTGTCTTCTGCCAGAACTCGCTGCCAGTGTCTACTCCCTTCTACCTTGGATGCCCCCCACCTCACCCAAGGGCCTCTGATTCTGCACATGGATTTCCTTCCTTGTACTTGCAGCCATCCCAGGGTGGAGCAGTGCCTAATGCTCCTCTGCAGACATCCTGGGGCAGGCTGGTCCTCTGCAGGGAAGGCTCTCTCCTCCCCAGTCAACCACTGCTCGCTCACTCAAGCGTCACTTCCTCCCACAAGCTCCCCCTACCCAAACCAAGCCAGGCTGTGCTAGTGGATGCTCTCAGGACTCCCTGCTCTCTCCTTCTAGCACCAAACCTCATTGCACATTTATTATGTGGACATCTGGTAGATTCCTGACTCCTGCAACCCATGATAAGCTTCAAAAAGGCAGGGACCATGCCCAGCCCACTCCCATGCTATCCCTGTTGCCTGGTGCTTACTGAGCTGGTACTGATGGGGGACTGAAGGTAGGGGCCTCTACCAGAGTTGCATCTTCAGTGCTCCCAACAGGTGCTCAGAAATGGGGGCCTGTCTCCACCCCAGCCTTGATGTAGAGTGACTGACTCAGGCCTCACTGCTCAGCATTTGCAGAGATGGGGAAAGTGCCAGTGCAAGCCCAGCCCTGTGTCTACTGACCCTGCATGTGATGTCCCTTTCATTTTATTTTTATTTATTGATTTTAGAGAAAGAGAAAGAAAGGACAGGAGGAATGGAGAGAGAGAGAGAAACATAGATTTGTTATTCCATTTATTTATGCATTCACTGGTTGCTTCTTGTATGTGCCCTGACCGGGGACGGAACCCTTAACCTTGGCTTATTAGGGTGATGCTCATACCAACCACTTACCAGGCCAGGGCCTTTGATGTCCCTTTTAGATGGGATTCACCTCAGGGAGCCTGGACTTGCAGACCTTCCGCCCTCAGTCCTTGTGCCTGAGACACCCAGACGCTGCCAGCTCCTGGCATGTCAGAGTCGCAGAGCTTGCGATGACTCTCTCAGGTGGTGGGGGCGTGCCGAGCCTCCCTGGCACTAGGAAACACGAACTTAGAAGAGGTTGGGAACAAGAGAAAAAGATCGCATGTGGTGGCTCATTGTCACTGGAGGCAGCACGGTACAGGTGCCCCACTGGTCCATCAAGGGACTGCTCTCTGGGGAGCAAACACCACCTCCAGCTTCAAGGGTGTAGATTTTATGCAGTAGGCACGGAAGCAGGGGAGCGGTCTGCCTTCTGGAGTCCAGAGGTCCCATTGCCCTCCTTGTGGTCTGGGCACATCCCTTCCCCACTCTGAGCCTGCCTGGTGGGGTGGCACCTATTAGATAGGCTCGGTGGGATTAAATGAGGTCATGTGGACAAAGTGCCTATGGTGGTGCTGGGCACTTAATGGGCTATAGCCGAGGCTGCTGTGACTGCCTTTAACCCATCCGTCCAGCAGGCGCCCTCATTGCCTAATGCCTTGGATGGAGATTCAGGGCTGCAGTGACTGTGAAACAAATAGGATCCCTTGGGGGTAAATGCTGGCCCACAGTAGCTCTGCGAGCTTGGCCTTCATCCAGCTTCCCCAGCCATAAACAGGGTTGATGACCTCCAACCTTCTGTCGGGGTCCACAGCCCTGTCAGCCGGGCAGCGACGCCTGGGAGAGCAAGCCCAGTGCCATGCTTGAGGCAACCACTGAGTCTGTGTTTGAGTGGCTGCCGACGGTCTGCATGGAGCATAACATTTGATTGGCATTGTCCGTCTTCAGCATGGTCTTAAGTACTTGTAGCTTTGGAGGCAAGCACGTCATCACTCAGGTTCAAGGCTAAGCTCCACCCTCACGAGCTCTGTGGCCTTGGGCAGCTGAGCCTCCATTACCTTATCGGTCAAATGGGAGTCATTCTACAGACCTCAAAAACAAATTATCTGTTATTATTTATTGGCATTTCCTGTCCATGGATCTTTCTCAGAACAGGTCCCTCTGCCCCATCCCCTCCCACCCATACACAAGTGGGAGGTGACCTCTTTAGCCCTCTGGTTAGCATAGCAATGTAACTTTTACTTTCTACTTTGTAGAAACCCACCCTAGGCCATGTTGTTATTATTATTATTATTATTCCTCACCCAAGGATATGTTTTTATTTATTTTTAGAGAGAGAGGAACCAAGGTTGGGAGAGAGAGAGAAACACCGATGTGAGTGAGAAACATTGGTTGCCTCCTGTAGCCACTGCAACCAGGGATCGAACTTGCAGGCTTTTGGTGTACTGGACAATGCTCCAACCAACTGAGCCACCAGCCAGGGCAGGCCATGTTATTATTTTGACAGAAGCGCCAGATCCAGCTCAGACTGACCCCCAAGCTCACACCTGTTATGCTGCTAGAAGGGTAAGGACACTGTTATCACTTATTATTGGCTGGGCTGTTTCTCATATTCTGCTGGAAACCAAAGTGTGATCCTGGGTTTCTTATTAATATGAACCACAGCAAGGGGCCCAGAGCCCTCTGGGGACGCTCTGCTGTGATATAAACACAGACCTGTCTGCTCCCCAATACTCTTTATGCCCAAACAGAATCATCCCACTTCCTCCTCTGTGGTCAAGCACAGGCAAGGCTGGGTCTGTCCTGGCACTGGACTAACATTTATTGTGCACCTACTATGGGCTGGGTTCTTGGTTAGGCACCAAGGATACGGTATAACAGGGAAGGAGACCGGTTGGTAGGGATGCGGTGAGGGACTCTCTGTAGAGGGTAGAGCGTGGACAGGAAGCAGAGGACTACAGGGAAGAGGAGTGGGTCACAGAGAAAGGGACAATCCCCCTTGACCTTGGCCAGGCTGCTTCCTAATCCTCTGTAGCATCTTAGGGTTTATCAGAGGAGGTCTAAGTTCTCCCAAAGTGGTCAGAATGGACAGCTCATGGGCAAGGATTTTTACTTTGGAAAATGTGTCCAGGAATTTACTTCTTTCCAGAGGGACAGGGAAGGAAAGAGAGCTGTATAGGAAGGAAAGAGCGAAGGTTCCATTGGGGAGAGGGGAGCTGGCTGGCCGGCTGCTCTGCTACCGGCTGTGGGTGAAGCCACAGAAGTGCTGGTGAGTCTGAGCTGGGGGCATGCCCTGGTAATAGTACCTAAATTAAAACAAACAGGCAACTCTGGGAGTGTGATACTTATTTTAAAATAAAGAAGAAGAAGAAGAAGAAGAAGAAGAAGAAACAAAGTCTTGGCCAGGTAGCTCAGTTGGGTGGAGTGTTCCCTGGATACAATAGCCAAGGCTGTTGGTTGTGTCCCTTGGTCAGGGCACATGCAGGAATCAACCCGTGAATGCATAAATGGGTGGAACAACAAATCTCTCTCTCTCTCTCTCTCTCTCTCTCTCTCTCTCTCTCTCTTACTCTAAAATCAATAAGGAAGGGCCCTGCCGGGCGTGGCTCCGCGGTTGAGCATCGACACAGGATCCAGGCGATCGGGGTTCGATTCCCCGGTCAGGGCACATGCCGGGGTTGCGGGCTCAATCAGTGACTCTCTCATCATTGATGTTTCTCTCTCTCTCTCTCCCTCGCCTTTCCTCTCTCTGAAATCAATAAAGATACATTTAAAAAAAAATTTTTTTTAAATTAAAAAATAAATAAAATAAAATCAATAAGGAAGGAAAGAGAGAAAGAGAGAAAAAAATTCTGGTGGTGGGGGCGGCAGAAGCACCGCAGCTAACAGGCAGTCAAAGGGCATGGGGAGGAGCCAGAGGCGCCAGCTGGCCCCTCTGAGTGAAGGGGGTAAATCTGCTCTAGAAGTGTCGCGGAGTCCCTTGGATTCAATGCAGATCTGCCCCGGCACCCGCCGCAGCACCAGCAGCCCTCCCCCCACCCCGGGCTGGGGCGGCTGAGAGCGACCCTCAGACGGAGACTGGCGGCAGCTAAAGCTCCCAGTGTCCGGCGCGCAGAAAGAAGGGGTGGGTGGCCAGAGGTGGTCTCGGGGTCACTCCTGCGGACCCCCAGGGAGTAGGACTAGGCACTTGTCCTACCGTGAGCCTGGACGTGGAGGTCGGGCATATTCAAGCGCCCGCAGAAAGCTCGAAGGACCCAATTTAATAAGAGTTAAAGCAATGGCAACCCGTGGCGCGCCCTGGTGGGGACGTAGCCATCGACGGTATCGTTCCTAAGGGGAGGGAGAGCACCTGCGGAGAGGGCACAACCCAAGTGGCTTATTCTTGTGCTCCGCCCGAGGTGGCACGGGGGGTGGGAGGCCAGGCCTCCCTCCACACGCCCGCGGAGCGCCCTCTGAGCGGGTCAGGCCACCGCCAGCCG